TGCTAATGGTTTCGGTTGGGGTATTACTTTTTTCATCATTGAGTTGATTCTATGCATATATGTTCTTTTTACAGCCAAAAAACAATATATGCGTATATATGCTTATATATTTTATTTCAAAAAAAAACGTATATGTTTCTTTGACAGCCAAGAAGAGGTGCTTTGAAACATGGGAGGAAGGTAGCAAAACATTCATCAGTCTCTTGGTAAGGGTTGTATTTTCCTTTCAAAAGTTCCAGTAAAATTCTTGCTTTAGTGTTTTTGTTGTTAAATTTGTTGAGTTTTCTGTTATATATCTACTTCACAGGATGGGTCTTTTTTCAGGAAAAAAAAAAGGATGGCTCTTCCTTGCCTTGCATAGCACAAAAGTCTGTTTCTTTGGTATGGAGTGACAAAAGGAATGCTAATATTTTGAAGTGTCAACTCTCTAGTGACAACAGGAAGGTGACTGAATTGTTTCATTAAGAAGTTAGTGTCTGACGTCATTCAAGAGAGAGTCAATTTAAGAATCATTTTTAAAACCACTGCCATGATTAGAGGCATAGATTAGCTGAGTTGCTTAGTCTGTTAATCTAGATAAAATGATTATAGAATATTGCCCTCTATATTCTTCTAGATCTTTGTCTGAAAAGCCTCAGAAACATCCTGAATCATTTTTCAAATTTTCAGATATTTTAGTGAAAGGAAATGGCAATGTTCTACCAAACTACTGCTCAGAACATCTGGTTGTCATATTGGCTGCCTTCTAATTTGTATCTTCTATGGAATGTGGAGAGACCATTCCAACAAATGAAGGAACTTGACATGAAAAAGTTGTCCCAGACATTATTGAGGAGGTCAAATGAAGGGACAGTTGTTGTTGTCAACCTAATGACCAAGAATATATCTTTATTAAAAAGAAGACCAAGAATAGATCCTACTGTAGCTTGTTATGGGTAACATAATGTAGTTTGAAATAAAACTCATATATGTGAACATAATGTAGTGGATAGCTTAAAGTGATAAACAGATACAGTCCAAAGGTCCTTAATCTTTATCATGAGGATAAAGAGAAAACATGTTCTGGATGTTAACATTAGAAAACTTGATTGCTGGTTTTAGACCGTGTATATTTTGTTTGAATATAATGTTTTCCTTAATGAAGAATATCCTGAAGATCATACTGATAGTTTGTCTAATTCCCTTTTTCAATCTTCTTCTTCTCTCTCTTGTTCATGTTAACACCTTCTTGGTGCACTTGTTTATAATACTTCTTTTTCTCATCAAAAAAATGATCATATCAGATTTCATTTCTCTGAATACTGAATGCCTGCTGCCTGGTTAAGTGGATCCACGACATTATTTTGGGGCATAAGGTAGTTTAAGTGAAATTAATTAATTTTTGAATGGCAAATCTTTAGCTTATGCGAGTCGCTTGTAGTTAAGACTGATCTGTTTTAAGTTTTTGCATTGTGTATGTAAGTTTGATTAAGAGGCTCCTATGTGAATCTGGTGCATCTTGAATTAATTTTTGGTTTTTGCTTTGCTTTCTTTTTGGCAGACGTGAAAATGCCTCGTAAAGTAAGTTACGGAGTTGATTATGATGATGGTTATGATGGGTATGAAGAGTATGACTATGACTATGACTATGACTATGACTATGATGTAGAAGAATATGGTTAGTAAATTTACTTTTTCACCAGTCTTTTTTCCATTCGCTTTGGTCATGCATTTTGCTAATTTGTTCTTGATCTGCCTGAAACTATCCATACATCAAGATAATGTTTTACATACATTCCCTGTGAAGGGTTTCTTGAGTTGGATTAGTTGGGTGAATCATGTTTCTCATGCAGTCAACTTAGTTTCTTGAGAGTTAATAAAAAATTTGCATGGAAAGAAAGTAGTTTCAAAGGTGCATTGGTTGAAAGGTTGAATCAGGTCAAAGGGTAAGGTTTTGGTTGGATGGACGGGTTGATGGTGGAACACTCACGCAAGATTTCCCAAGATTTTTTCCTTAGTTCGTTATAAGACTCAACAATTGCAAAATTTTTTTCCATTTTTGAAATAAAAGAAGAGAAGATGTATTAATGTGAGGTGCTACGAGAGCACTATCCATTTACAAAAAATTTATATGCCAATTAGCATATTTACAATATAACCTAAATTTTTAAAACATTCTAGATTATGTTCTGAAGCAGTAAAATCAAAATAATGAAACCATTTATCTTTAATACTATTAAAATCTTGTTCAAGTCCCTCAAAAGTCCTGTTGTTTCTCTCATTCCAAATAACTCAGAAAATAGTAAGAGAGATTAATCTAAGAGCTTTATTACTATTTAAACCTTTTCATGCCAGAAGTTCGAAATAAACAGAATTTGTCATTATCCAAGAGATCCCCAAAAGCTCGAGTATTATGCTCTAGAGTTTGTGAGATGTTTGACATTTAAAGAGTAGATGATTACATGATTCAAGAGATTTGTTACATAAGAAACACCTGAGGATAGTAGTATGCCCTCTTTTCATCAAATTGTCTATTGTGAGGATTTTCTCTTTTACAGCTTCCCAAGTAAAAAGAGCAATTCTTCGGAGGGCACCCGATTTTCAAATAATTTTTGAAGGAAAATAATATTTTTCATTAGAGTTATGACCGGCCAGAAAAGACCAGAGAGAGCTGACACTGAAGAGGCCATAATTTTTTAATTTTCAATGTAGTTTATTGTTTTGATTTTGCAACTGTGTTTTTGCTAATAAGTGAAATAAGAATTAATAATCTTCTAGTTCCTAATCTTGAAGGTTCCTTATCACTGGGACACTTCAGGAGGTAGGAATGACTGAACCAACAATATCATTTACTGTGACAGTTTTGTTTCTAGCAATCCCATAGATAAGGGGGTATTTGTTTTTTAATTTTTATAAACCGCATCAAAAATCTCCCCAGAAACAGACCTTGAACCCATTACCAATATTCCATTTTGAGCATTGAAATATCGCATTATTTAGTGTGATGATGTTCTTCCATAAACTGTAGTCATAGTTGATGTTTTTAATATACAGATAGATTTTGTGAATTGCCATCATACCATTTTTAGTTTGTCACCATTTTTCAGAGACTGTCATTTTCATTCCAATATCTTCAAATCCATTTACCAATAAATGCCTTGTTTAGTTTGACTATTGATCTTAGTCCCAAGCTCCCCCTACTTTTAAGGGTTTTTTGATCTCCAACCAATTCATTAAGTAGTATTTCTTGCAATTTTCACTATCACTCCAAAGAAAGTTATATTGGATCTGCTCTAATTTTTTTGCCACTTTATTTGGTATGTTAAGCACTGATAAAAAGTAAATCGGGAGATTGGAGAGTGTGCTTTTAATCAAGGTCAATCTAACTCCTTTTGATAAATTTTTTTTCTTCCAGGTAGATAATTTGTTATTGAACAAATCGATCATAGGTTCCCAACAATTACTGTCATTGTGCTTGGTGCCAAGAGGAATGCCAAGGTAAGTGATAGGTAACTGTGTTTGCTTGCAGCCCAAAACCACACTGAAGTGTTCATTTCTAGAGCTGTTTCCCAACAAAACCATCTCAGATTTTTGGAAATTTATATTTAAACCGGAGACAGTCTGAAAGCATAGTAGAATACATTTTAGGAAGATGAAGGAGTTGAAATCCGATTGACAGAAAATCAGTGTAGCATCAGCAAAGAAAAGATGAAAAATTTCCGTTTTGTGATCTCTGTTACCTACAGTAATCTCTTTAATTAAGTTTAGTGATTTTGTTTTCTCAGTTAGTTAATTCAGTGCCTCCATTACAATAATGAATAAGAGTGGATAAAAGGGATCCCCTTGTCGTAGGCCTCTAGAGGCATTGAAAAAAGTAGTGGATCTGTCGTTGACAATCACGGCAAAACTGGTAGCGGAAACACATGTTTTTATCTAGCTTCTCCATTTGGGTTCAAAACCAAGTCTAAAAAGCATATAATCCAGGAAATTCCAGTTAACGTGATCAAACACCTTTTTCATGTCAAGTTTACACAGAATTCCTTCCTTGTTATGTCTAATGGCTTCGTCAACTGTTTCATTAGCAATTAAAATGGCATCAGTAATCTGTCTCCCAGAAACAAATGCGTGTTGACCGTTTCCAATGATGTTCTTTAATACCTTTGACAATCGTTTTGCTAGAACTTTGAATAATAATTTGTAAATACACCCAATGAGACTTATAGGACAAAAATCATTATAATTCTTTTGGCTAAGCTCTTTTGGGGATCATGACAAGAAAAGTAGAGTTGAGTGATTATATAAAGGTGTTGTGGCTGTGGAAATCATTAAATAGCTCTAATATGTCACCTTTAATGATATCCCAAAAAGATTGAAGGAACTTGATGTTGAAACCATCTGAACCTGGAGCTTTGTCCCCATCACATTCCTTAAGGCAGTCCAAGATTTCCTCT